ATATCTACTCGATCAACAAATTAATATATCTCTCTCTCTCTCTCTCATATATATTTATTTATCATTATCTTTTTGAAAATCAATCATTTCAAATTTCATTTATTTAATAATAAATTTTAATTACTATTCTCAAAACTTTAGATACTCTGGTACGATAAGAGGGCTCAGAATTACAGCATCTACCTCTAATAATATATTATAAAATAACAAAATTGTGTATGTATCTTTATTCAATTATTGAATCTTCAATAGTATCTCTAATCTGTGTTGACTTCAATGAAATTCTCAAAATTAACAAAAAGAAAATGTTTTCGAGATGAGATGCGGGTGTACGGTACGGACCGTGGACATGAGCGCATGAGAAAATAAGGAAGCAGTGGAAGATAAAATAGAAACGGCCATGGCCCACTTTTATCGACTCTCTTACATCACCACTGCTTTTTGGACTAATCTGCTTTATTAATGTAATTAATTACTCCGAACTGGATCGACATTTTTAAGTATATGATTAAGATTTAATATGGATGTATTTCTTATATATATTTTTATAATTAAAATTACATCATAATTAATATGTATAATGTTTTTTTTAATTAACTAAATATTTATAAGTTTATTTTAATTTTTTAAAAATATTATTGATAATAAATTTATCAAATGAGAAAAGAGAATGGATATCGTTTCTGCTTGTATTTTCAGAAAAAGAGAAAACCGAAATCATATTTTCTGGAAATTTTCCGTCAGCTAAATGGATTGTTTTTAAGAAAGAAAATAAAGTTGTTATTATTATTCTTGAATAAATTTTTATAAATTTTCGTACGGGTTTGTAATTTAATTGACGTGTGAATTTATATTTGTTTATTATTCTTGAAAGGATTTTCATTTTTATAATTAAAATAATAATTATTATTATTTTTTTATAAACAATATTACATGACTAAAACACAAATCACATTTGCGGAAACTAATCATTTACCCAAAGTAGTGATGGTTAAACAAAGCCACGCTTTTATGCAAATTATTGTTTTAATTTTCTAAATGATTTTTTTACCAGGATAAGTAATAATTACAAGAACAAGGATTAGTAGTAATTAAACCCTTACCTTTTCTATGTTATCGACTCTCAACCAAACAAAAGAATTTAATTACCAAAAGGGAAAATAAAAAAAGCGAAGGAAAAGAAGGGTAAAAATAGGTCATTTTTTATCAATTAAAGTAAGCGGTAATTTTAGAAAAAGAAAAAAGTAAGCGGTAATTCTAATTTTTATAATTTCTAGCCCCACGCCTTTCACTTTGCTCTTTAGTTTTTGGACTCTTTACCCCTGACACTTAAAGTTTATTAGCAGACTCGCTATCCTTCTTTCTCTGATGTAAAGGGTTCCAGTCCTCTTGCATTTCAAAAATTACTGTAAATTTCTCTTTAAAATTTAAATTCTCAAAACAAAAAATTTCTTAATCACTAAAATATACCATATAAATTAATTGAATAGGAGAATAAACTTCACCTCATAATTCAGGTTTTCTGGAACCATATATATCTAGTATAGTTGTTGAACTTGCAGAAAATTTAATGTTGTTTTTCTAAAATATGGGCGCATTAAATTGAACAGTTACTTGTATTTAATAATTTTCTATCTTCCCCCAAAATGAAAACATGACAGGTTTTCCATGGCTAAGAAAACCGCCTTCCCCCCCCCCCCACCCCCAACACCAATTTATTTATTTATACTCTCTCCCTCTGTCTTTCCCCTCACTCTTTTCTCTTCCATCTTTTCGGCAATGGAGGGAAAGGAAAGGAATCCTCTCCTCTTTTTCTTCACAATTTTTGTCTTTTTTCTCCTCTCTCCCACAGCATCCTCCTCCCCGTTCTCTCTTCAGTACCAGAACCTGCTTCTCAACCCTCTACCTTCCGCACCCACTCTCTCTTGGCCCGACGTCGAATCCGATTCCTTAGCCTCCGCCACCATCGATACCCAAACGACTACTTCACTTTCCGTACAGTTACACCACGTAGATGCTCTTTTCTCCAACCACACCCCGCAGCAGCTCTTCAACCTCCGCCTCCACCGTGACTCCCTACGCGTCAAAACTCTAACTTCCGTCGCGAAGGCAGCCGCCCGAGGGAACAACAACCGCAACGTTTCACGCGCGCGTGGTGGCGGGTCGGGCTTCAGTAGCTCCATCATATCTGGGCTCTCCCAGGGCAGCGGCGAGTATTTCACGCGCCTGGGCGTGGGGACGCCTCCCAGATATTTGTACATGGTTCTTGACACTGGCAGCGACGTCGTTTGGATCCAGTGTGCTCCTTGCAAGAAATGCTACGCCCAAACCGACCCGCTATTCGACCCGACCAAATCACGGTCCTTCGCCGGGATTTCCTGTGGGTCCCCCTTGTGTCGTCGGCTCGATTCTCCTGGCTGCGGTAACCGCCAGAAGTGCCTCTACCAGGTATCTTATGGCGATGGCTCCTTCACGTTCGGAGAGTTCTCCACCGAAACGTTGACGTTTCGCGGCACCCGCGTGGGACGCGTGGCGTTTGGTTGCGGCCACGACAACGAGGGCCTCTTTGTTGGTGCTGCGGGACTTCTAGGTCTTGGTAGGGGGAGGTTGTCGTTCCCCTCGCAAGCCGGTCGCCGGTTCAACCGGAAGTTCTCTTATTGCTTAGTCGACCGGTCCGCTTCCTCCAAACCGTCTTCTATGGTTTTTGGCGATGTGGCTGTCTCGCGAGCCGCTGTATTCACCCCGCTTTTGAGTAACCCCAAGCTCGATACTTTTTACTATCTTGAACTGCTCGGAATCAGCGTCGGCGGCGCACGAGTCCCCGGCATAAGTGCTTCCCTGTTCAAACTGGACCAAACTGGGAACGGAGGAGTGATCATAGACTCTGGGACGTCTGTGACCCGCCTTACTCGACCCGCTTACGTAGCAATGAGGGACGTGTTCCGGGTGGGGGCGTCGGACTTAAAGCGAGCACCCGAATTCTCGTTGTTCGATACGTGCTTCGATCTGTCGGGGAAGACGGAGGTGAAGGTGCCGACTGTAGTACTGCATTTCAGGGGTGCGGACGTGTCACTTCCGGCGACAAATTATCTGATTCCGGTAGACAGCGGAGGCAGGTTTTGCTTTGCTTTCGCCGGCACCATGAGTGGATTGTCGATAATCGGGAACATCCAGCAGCAGGGATTCCGGGTGGTGTACGATTTAATGGGTTCCCGGGTCGGATTTGCTCCTCGTGGGTGCGCGTGAGCGAGTAATGACCTGTCTTTTTCTTTTTTAAGTTTTGTTATTATTATTATTTTTAGTTTTGATTAAGGAAGAAAAAGAAAAAGAAATCCTGGGAGGAAATGTTATTCACGTGTTGTGTTGTATCATCTAAATCTACTGCTTTACAAAGGGTAATATAAATTAATATTTTCAGATTTCAATATAAATTAATACCGTAATTGCAATTTGTTGATACGAAAGCATTCCTGTTTATTTTCTTGGGGGGGAATGTGAGATTGGAGTGTAATTTTATTTTTGTTTTTCTCTTCACACGTAAATTACATTATAGGGAGGAGGGTGACAAGTAAAAATTGTAAATTAGAATGTAAATGAAAAAGGGAGAATTTGGTCGTGAACTAAAATGGTGTTTTTGATGAGGTGAATAGAATTATAGGTGAGATTAGATCTAAAAATTAAGATGGACATTGGGTCACATGCACCATCCCCATGTGTTATGGACCCACCACTAAACCTTTTTCTTTTATTATTTTGTAAGAAATCTATTTCATTTTCGAGGTTTCCCTTTCGGTGCATGCATATATAACCAAAGTCACAACCATCAAAACGACAGCGCCAAAAAAATGATGCTTTGGAAATTGACTTCTCAATCTGATTTCACCAATAAGGTTTTACCGCCTCCTACGGGCCTAAATTCTTTCTAAGCTTCAAATTTATTTCATTATGTATGTAAAATTAATGTAATTATATCTATTTCAATCTCCAAACACTTTATTAATAAGAGTGAGTTAAATGAACTTTTTTCAATCAGAAATACTTTAAAAAGTACAAATTTAAGCACGACACCAAATTAAATGTCAAATAAAACAAAATTATTATTATAAAAGCAAGTGATGCTTAAGAGCATGATAGAAAATAAAGTTATGGGTATTTTTTATTTTTTATTTTTTTCACTACTAAAAGATTACTTGTCTTTCTAGTGTTAGAAACATATGTCATGTAATAATTATGTTAAGATTTTTTTTATTTTTTATTTATAAAAAATAAAAAGAATATCAATTTCAAATTATGTAAAAATTTTATTACAGAATTAATGAATTTAAAATTCTAAAATTATTAAGAAATTATTTTTACTATGTTAGCTTATGTTTGACGCAATCAGATTCACTACATGATTTTATGGATTAATTCATACATGGATAGAATGGGAATATTAATATATGTAGTCTTGAGCTCAATCATGGGAGAGCAGCCTTCGAACATCCATGTGTTGCACATTAATTATCCCCACCGACAACCTTCAAAATCGGGCATCTCATTTCCCTCTCAGTGCTCGTGAAAACTCAAACCAATACTCATAAATGTTATATTCCCCCCTTATGTTACCTGCTTTTAGGCCATCTACGTTTTATTTTATTTTAAAAATAATTTCGTATATTAATATAAAAAGTTTCTAAAATTTTTGTGACTTATCAAAAAAAATTATAAGTTAAGTTTCTCTCTCTAATGATTTGTAAATGAAAAATTATTCGAGATAATTTCTTCAATTATTATAACATTTTTGTTGAACTTATTTTATATAAAAATTAAACCCTATAATATATACATTTGAAATTATTCTTTAGATTTACGTTTCATGGTTAGTTAAAATCTTCATTTTGGTGTATACATTGGTTCTTGCTCTACCAAGTATTCCATTGCATAATAAAAATAAAAATAAAAAAACTATAATTGAGAGTAAAGGTTAAAAGAAGAGATACTTTATATTATCTTGTTATTGAAGTTCAGCCTAAAAAAGAGCTTCTTCACTTATAAACTTCCATTTTATATGTACACACACTCTGAAAATGTGGTATGATGTCTTAAAGTCCTTTCTATACATTAGGCAAACAATATCTATAATTGCTCCTCTAACTAAAATGCTTAACTCGTGATAACACTTTCACTTTCCATAATTTTTTCTAAACTTTATTTGCCACTAAGGATGAGGAGTTACCACAACTTCTAGTTTTTCCTTCCAAAGATTTTTTTATCCTAATTTCATCGACAACGTACTAGATCGTTTTTAATACCCATTTTAGCCAATCAAAAGGTATGCAGTGAAATGCTACTAATTTATTGAACTTTTGAAGTACAGAATACTCATTGTCTGTTTCAAGAAAGATAGATTTACAATAGTCTATGAATTAGATTGTATTGACTTTGGTGACCATATCTTGCCCGAATATAATGATAACTAATTATCTTCTTGTAACACCCAATTTTTTTTTTTTTGAATTTTTATTTTTCTTTTTGTATTTGAATTTTTAGTTTAATTTTTTTATATATTTAATTTATAAGATTTTAATTTAATTTAATTTAATGAAAATAAAAATAAAAATAATGATAAAATTGGGTAAAAATATTATTTGGATTTAATTGAAATTGATTTTGAAAAAAATGGATGAAAATTTAGATTCTGGAGGTATTTTTGAAAAGAAAATCGTAAACCGAAGATCAAAACGCAATTTAAAAAAGTTGTACCACGTCAGTAGCCCCAGCCAACCAGGACACGCCGCGTGACAAGGAAACGCTGACACGGGACGGGCCATGTGGGCGATCCGCGTGCGCGCGATCGGACGACCCAGATCGCATCGCAATGGACGGTCCAGATTTAATCCCAATTAAATTGCGATCAGATGGTCCATATTTAATCTTGATGAATGGTTGAGATTAAAAGGCAAAGGATATAAATAACCCCACCCACACCTGACCACAAAACCCTAGCCGCTAGTGTCTCGCCGGAGAAGAAGAACCAGACGCCGGAGGAGCCGGCCGCCGCCACCCGCCGATGCACCGAAAAGTTTCCGACCGCCAATCGAGGTAAATTTTCTCCTCCTTGCTCGTTTTTCGATGCTGAATCCGTCTATGGCCAAACTAGAGCCAAACCACCGGCTAAGCGGCTGGAAAATCCCGTCGAAGTCCAGCGGCGCCGCCGCGACTCCCCTATGTTTTTTACCTCTGATGAGGCCCTTCCCGGCCTCCGTTCGATGCAAATTTTATACCACTGTGATCACCGTTCTTTTCTCTACAGGTTAATCGGAGCCAAATATCAAAACGCGACTCACACCGGAGGAGCCGCCGCACCCGAGAGCACTGCCGCCGGTAAGTCTCAATTTTTCGTAATTTTTTGGCCCACCGAGGGCCCTAGGGTTGTTTTATCACAGGGACCGATGTAAGTTTGGCCGAATTTGGCCGAAAACGACTAACCCGAGGCAGATTGTCGCCGCAAGCGACAGCGCCGTTGCTGGAGCACGGCGGAGCCGCCTTACCGGAATTCTGATATTGGCTGAAAGGGGCCCTAGGTCTGATTTGAAATTTTTTGGGACACGTACAGGTACCGGTAGTGCGTTTCAGTTTTTTGAAAAAAATTCAGGGAAATTAGGGACAGTCCGTAGACGCACTGTAAAGTCGATTTCAGACTCTGAAACAAGTAAGGACCCCTCACCCTATTTCCTATCACGGTATTAAAGCTAAATAAATAATTAAACTGTACTGTGTGACTTTATAGATGTATAATTAATTAAGATTGCCAATGGAGCCCGAGTCTGATACATTGTTAGTCAGTTGTTGTTTGATCTAATTTTTAGTATTAAATGCAGTATGATGTTTGATGTAATTATATTATGGTCTCGTATGCATGAATCATGATTTCTTTTATTATGGTTTATATTATGGTGAACCTGATACTGTGTTGTCTTGTTTGGTGTCAATTACTGGTTTACATGTTGTGTATGATTGGATGATTGAGATCAAGAAAAAAGGCAAAAAGGTTATGTGAATTGATAAATGGATAATGTAGACAGTCTGACTAGATATCCTGGGAGATGGTGGACGGACCGGGTCCGTAGAGAACCCTACCGAAAACGTGGTCTCTCATACTGGACGGGGTATGGAGACCTTATGTGTTTTGGCGCCCATACCGAACTGAGTATGGGGACGGCCCGTTTCACCCTCATACCAGACGGGGTATGGAGGTTTATGGTTTTGGCGTCCATACCGGACGGGGTATGGGGACGGCCCTGGAATCAGGTTATTAATGTTAATAGTTCACGTGTAACGGGGACCCCCTATGGATCCCCATGAATACTAGTAGGCTGGTAAATAGGAAAATATGTTGTTTAATGATTGAAATGTAAAGACATGGTAAGTATTATGTTATAAAGTCTATATGATTTCATGATGATGATAATGTTATTGCTTTCATATGTTGTTTTCATGGATCTCACCGAGGTAAGTGAACAGTAAAGGTTTTTATGTTAATAAACGAGTTTGTTATAAATTATGCTCCATTAGTCATTTTTGTTTTCTACCCACCTTTACTTCTCTGGCGGTGAGATAGTGTGATGTCTTTACTGGACTGGTGTAGCTCATTCCTTATTTAATCAGTTCAGATCAGGAAGACGTTGTTCCCGAACCCGTTCCGCAGGAAGACGGTGAAGAGGACGCCTAAAGACTTCATAGTTATATTTATAGTTCTTATTTCGAGTATCTCTTTTAGTTAGTTTGTTCCTTCATGTTTTAAGTACGTTTTGATTATTGTGTAAGGGATGTTAATCAAAATTTTTATTACACTTCCATATTTGAGATTTTTAATACATACATTTCATTTAAATTTTCAGGGCCGTTACACTTCTCATATATAAATTTTGTGTCCATCACCCACTCTTCATGTACGGCCCTACTGTAATAATCTCGTACCCACCAACATGTTCCTTCAAGTGTAGCTTGATCAATGACCCCTAATACAACATTTAAGAAATCTTTATTATGACAATACTTAGCTTGCAATAATTGGGACAACAAAGACTTCTAGATAGATACTAACTGCTAAGCTTGTTTGACGAACAAAGTTTTATTGAAACACTAATAACCTTTGAACCCCAACCCTCCCTCTTCTTTAGTTGAGTATAAAAATTGACCAATTCATCCAATAAATTTTTTATATTGGACAAAAAAAAATTAATTTTTTGATTTTCATAAATGACATAAACCTTATTCTTCCACTAACAATGTCATTTGAGTTGTTCAGTTAATATGAAAAACAAGACTCAAATAAGAGTAACAAATGGAAAGAATATATATCAACGAGAAGACAAACAATTAAAGACTAAAGAGTAAAATCATTCTAGAATTATTTATCTTCATTATAGAATTAGGAAAGTTATATTTAAAGGTTCAAGAAGATTTTCTATAAAACTATCTTTGAGAATCCTTTTAAAAATATTTTTAGTTTTAAAATTAAATTCTCAATATTTTTAAGGAGATTAGATTTGTGAAAAATTATTTTGAGATAAGATTTATACATCAGAAGAATTTCAAAAATAAAAAATTTATGATTATATATATATATATATACACATATACGAGAGCATATGTGATTTGAAAAATCACCTCTATATGCTTAAAGGATATCGCCTTCCGAAATTGAAATAACTTGAGAAATGATTCAACATAATACAACTTAAAACACATGTAAAAAAATATGTTTTTAACGTTATTTATGATTGATCATGTATTTGGGTTATATCTTATTATGAATCACATAAGTTATTAAGTTAAAATATTATTTTAAAAGTTAAGAGTGTAAAAAATATATATATATATATATATAAAAGGAAATGTTAGAAAAAAATAATATATTGTTAGGAAGACGGTATTGAGTCAAAACAATTTTTTCAAAAGTAACTGTCATTTTAATATTAAATTGTTAGTGTTTTAAAACACATCATGCATAATTTTTACATATTTTGAAAAACATTCTGTAACACTTTTTTGGAAGTCCAATCGATGTCAAAGTGTCTCTAATAGCTTTTTTGATATTTTTACTCATAAATAATGTCTCCAACATATTCAAAAAAAAAAGAGGGACATTAAGTATAAATATATAATTGAAGAAGGTAAAATCTTGTTTGTTCTTTTGAGGCTTGATCGAGCTACTAAATGAATTGTTCATTTATATATTTACTTTTGGGGATAGATAACTACAATCTCTTTAATAAAAAATATCTTTATTTTTTGGAATATTGTAAGACATGTATGTGCAAAACTTTAGAAAATTTTGTGTCAATCGAATATAAGAGAAATGTGAACCTTGGCACCTTAGTAAATAAGCTGTATTGTTATAAGGAAGACATGTGGAAAGTGAACTTGACACTTTGATAGATAAAGTATAGTATTCAATAGAGTATGAGTAGTAAGTGAACTTGAGATCTTATTAGATAAATTATAGTATTCAATAGAACACGAGTCGTAAGTGTACTTAATACCTTGATAAATAAGTTATAGTGTTTAATGGAGCACAAGTGATTGGTGAGTTAGGTACGATAATCAACTAGTTTGTTATAATACTTTGGAGAAAGTAATGAAAATTTGGTTGACTTAAGAAAAATGATGTAGACACAATAGTATTGTTGAATTTTTATAAAAGAGTTTGCATTTTCTTCTATGTCTTTTTTACTTTAAATTGTTTTATATCATTACATGGCGTTACATTATTACTCACATTACACATACATAAGTAGAATTGACCACAAGCACTTTAAGTTGTTATCATTTGTGCATACCATCTTTATTTTTTTTATAAATGTTTAATTAAGATAAACAAACTTCACTAAACCTTAAACAGTTTTATACAATTAAATAGTAAAATAATGAAGGAAATACAAATAACACTTAGTTCTTTTTAGATTTTTTTAGAATTAACTATAAATTTCATTGTTCTGCTAGTTTTGGATAGTTTTTTCTTTAGTATGCTTACACTTTTTTATTAAAAAAAAATTATGTTGTGTGCTCTATGATTTTAATGTCACTGAT